CCATGGATGATGCAGTGAAGAGGAGACCGATGCTGTTGTATTGGACGAGCTGGGCTTGCAATTGGGCGAACAGCTAGGCGATTTACCCACCGCTTCTGGTTCATTGTCCATTGCCGGCGGCAGCAAAACTACACCCACAGCTATAGCCGCCGGTGCAACCGGTGGCACAACCAGTTCAGGTGGTAATGGTGGAGCTACAGGCGGTAGTGGCGGCTCAACACCCATGTCCGATGCAGATGCCGACTTACAGGCCCGTTTGGATAAATTGAGACGGGACTAAAATATATATTTTGGTCCTTATTTTTTTATTTGTATTTTTTATATAGTTATCTTTTTGTGTATCTTATCAATCTGATATCACCCCATCAGAGCATGTAATGTAAAATGAAAGCTAAATATAAGGCAACTTCAACACGAGTTTTTCTTTGTACCACCTCCACTCCTCTCTCAACACATCTGGCAACAATTAAAAAGCACTTAAATTCAATATTTTATATTATAGCATTGAGCTTAGCAATTACATTTATTACTTTAAAACCACAATAAAATTCCATTCGACGGTGAACATTTCCTATTTGTTATCGTTTTCCAACCACGATTTTAACTAACATTATTTAATATTACAAGGACACAAAGAAAAAAATATCATCTAAGCAAATCGGCAATAATTTAATAGATATACAATATCATGCAATTCAATTTATTTAGAAACCACTTTGAACAAACACTTCCTCCACCTTAGAGAACACCTCATCCGACGAAGGACTGGCATCAATTTGTTTAACCTTGCCGAGTTCTTCGAAATGCTTAATAATGGGTAGAGAATCATTGTTGTACGTCTGGATGCGTTTCTTCAAACTTTCCATATTGTCATCCGAACGACCGGAACCACTTTTTCCTCGGCTCAGACAGCGATCAACGCAAATCTCTTCAGAGCAATTGAAGAACAATACAAACTGGAAATCCACCTTGTCGGACATTTGACGATTCCAACCGTCCAAATTGTCTTGATTGCGGGGAAAACCGTCAATAAGGAACTTGTTTTTGTCGGATTTTTTCATTGCCGCCTCTAAAAGCGAACACGTCACCTCTACCGGTACAATCTTTCCATTACGTATGTAGTCTTCAATCAATGCTCCAACCTCGGAACCTTCACGGGCACGTTCTTCTCTCAACAAATCACCAGCCGATAGATGGACGAAATCGAAACGTTCGACAATTTTTGAACATTGTGTACCCTTACCAGCACCTGGACCACCCAAGACAAAAACAATTTTTGGTTTTTCTTCCGACATTTTTAATCTTGTTAGTGCAGCAGCCGAAATTGTACTATAGAGGTTAGCTGTAGCGCAGGTGGAATGTTTGGTTGGGGCTAGTAGTAAATTGCACGACCTTGTGAGAAGTTTAAACATCAAGGGTGAAAGAGCACGAGGATGATACGTATATACTAATTTGTGTATATATGTTTCAAAATTACCTCTTTCCTATCTATCGGCTGTAAATTAAATAATTGGCTATTACTATGCTTCTTCTTCGTGAGTAGGGACAAGTAAATGGACTTTCGATTAATCGACTTTTTGTATTAAAAAGTCTAAGTGGGGTTATACACTGTTGGTCATGGACATTCGTCATGAGAGCTTTTTCTCTATCATTGGTAAATGAGAGTAATTAATTTTGTAACAACCGTTTCACAAAAGGTACGAATTTACATAAACGTACCAAAACAAAAAGTAGACTTTTTTATTATTCGTGAATACATTTACGTTTAAATTATAACATATGGTCTGTTCCTGTACTGCAAGAATCTACAACTTTTTACTACAGTAACGAATTTTCCTTTATGATATCGAAGAAAATATAACTAAGTATTTTTTTGATATTTATGTATTAGTTATTAGGACATTATGTCATTGTTGGTACTATTTTTGGCCTTGGAGGCTCATGTATTATTGAATGGAATAAATAAATAAAATAGTAAAATCGAGTAGATTCTTGCAGTACGGGAACATACGAATATATTATATATGAAAATAACTGGTATAAATATTGGCCAATATTTCTCGATAATTATGATTTTTTATCATTTGAAGTAAAATGTTAGGTACTTTGTTGCTCCTACCTGTGGCAATGTTTTCCAACTCTATTCCCAATTTACCAATGAGAGAGAGAAAACTCTCATGACGAATGTCCATGACGAACAGTGTAAAACACCGCTAAATGAGAAACGCAGAAGCTTCTTCTTCGTGAGATTACGCATTCACTGTGCATTGGGATGCTGTTAAAATGTTGCCATATTGATAATAAAATAAGCAATGTGTTTATCGAAATTTCCTCAAAATATACCGATAATCAAATCGATAGTTTGTCATCTCTAAATACACGTGAGATTTGTTGATATTTTTTGTTTAACTTTTGCCGCACAATATCTGAAAGAGAGAGTATTTTATAAAATGAGTTTCCTGAAACCCAAAGATGTTATAGACGAAGGAGATACTGTCATCCTTTACATTAGTGTCAATTCGATGCACGTCATCGAAGCGACACCAACCATAGTAAATAAAAAAGGCGAAACAATTGAACATATATTTCAAACTTCATTTGGAGCATTGAAGGTGCGAAATATAATCGGTGTGAAATATGGTAGTCGTGTGGAGTTATCCAAAGGATATGCCTATGTTTTGCAACCCAATCCGGAATTATGGACACAGACATTGCCCCACCGAACGCAAATTATCTATACGCCCGATATTAGTATGATATTGCATCAACTTGAAATACGACCGGGATCGATTGTTATTGAATCGGGTACAGGGTCTGGATCATTGTCACATTACTTTTTGAGGGCTGTTAAGCCACATGGTCATCTGCATACATTTGATTTTCACGAAGCCAGAGCTAATCAGGCACGAGAGGAATTTCAGCACCATGGTCTGGGCGATTTTGTGACCGTTTATCACAGAGATGTCTGTGAGAATGGTTTTGGCGAAGAGCTGAATGGTAAAGCGGATGCAGTATTTTTGGATTTGCCAGCACCGCAGCTAGCAGTGCCACATGCCTATAAAGCACTAAAGGAAAGCGGTAAATAATATTTTATGACAAGTATTAAACTATTTAATTAAAAACAATTTCTATTTAACAAAAAAGGTGGACGCTTCTGCTCATTTTCTCCCTGTATTGAACAGTCACAACGTTGTTGTGTGGCATTGCAGGATCTTGGTTTTACAGAAATTCAATCATTTGAAATTCTACAGCAAGAGGATATTGTAAAGACGAAAACCTTTCCTGTAATTAATTTGGATTTTGTTAAAACAAAGGTAAAATCTTTATTCGAAATGTTGCCCTATTCCCCATGTAATTTTACTACTTTCTTTGCAGAAAACAAATCCAACTGAAGAAGACACAAATCAAAAGGATGTGACTGCAGCGGCAAAACAACCAAAAGAGACAATAAAAGTCTTAACATCATCAGCCCCACCCACACAACCAGGTCATACAGGATTTTTAACATTTGCCACTTTACAACCTGCATTTGCAAGATAATTTTTTAATTGTATTTATAATGTTAATTATTCTCAATGGAATTAAAATGATACATTTGTAGCATATACAAATAAATAGTAATCTTTTTAATCTATTATGTTATTTCGGTTTGTGAGAGAATGGAATGCATTTTAAAATTAACAAATATTTTTAAACTCTGGTCGTCTTTTAAGGGTAGAGATAAATAGTTTGTGTATTTTGGAAATACTGACCTACAAAGGAACTTACTGTGTTGAGAAATTTCATGTTATCCTTCAAAGGGGCATGGACATTTATTTGTAATGAACATTTTTTATGCAACATGACGTTTCATTTGTTTCCCTTTATATTCTCGTAGATTACGGGTCTTGGAACCCCATTAATCAAAATTCTTTTTTACTACCGCCGTCGTCGTTGCCTTAGATAATCTTTTACAGTGAATAGTGTAATTGAGTAATCATTTTACAGTGGATTGTGTAAGAGTTCGTAAGTTCACTTTAGTGAATCTTTCAATTGAACTTTACTTATCCCTAAGCTTTACGCACAACATACAGAAAATCGAACTCCGAATAAAAGGGAAAATATTGCAATTTAACAATGGCTTTTGATTTCTGTTTCGATAAAAAACTGTTCCTACATACCACTTGTCGTTGTTGTAGTCGTTTCTTTAGTGAAAATGTGAAATTTTATAAAATATTCCAAGAGAAACAAAAAACGAACAGCAGCTGCAGCAACAATATCGAAGACAGTGGTGGCGGTGATAGTGAAAATTGTGATGGTGCAGCAGCAGCAGCGAATGACGTTTATTATGAGCCTAATGATGATATCAAAGACATCTTTGAAGATTTTCTAATATGGAAATTGAATGTACATGCAAATCGTATACTATTCCCAGTTCCATCTATTCTATTTTATTTAACTTTTGTTTCAGATCAATGCCATGGATGGTATGCCGCAACAGATATGCGAAGAATGTTTTCAGAGATTCAAGCAGGTCCATTCGTTTCGCGAAGAATGTCTTGATAGTCAGAAAATATTACAAAGTTATTTTTTGGACTACGAAGTGTTGGATGCTGGAAAGCTTACACCTAAATCGGAGATACCAAGCGTGGACAATGAAATTGCCCCGGATTCCGTGCTAAACAATAAGGATGTTGATAGATCTGTTAATTGCAAATACAACGGCAATGATGTAGCCGGATCACCTTTCAGTAGCCCTAGACTGCGTCTAAGTCCACGTTTGGTGGAGATGGCTGGATGTCTCGATACATCTTCTTCGATTGGTACACCACCTCCATTGTTTGAGGAGATTAAAACCGAACCCATTGATATGGAAACAATGGAGGTGATAAAACCGGAATCGGAAATTATCCAAGAACCTCATCAAATTGATTATAAAATTAGATCTCATCCTAATTCCTCAGATGAAGAGGAATCGTCGACGCCCACTTCGGATGAAGAGCAATCGGATGATTCTATGTCATCGGACGATGAAGATGAGTCACTGCAAAGCTACAAAATGAAACAGAAAAAGCCGAAAACCTTTAATCCTCGGCTTACATGTAAAATATGTCATCAGGCTTGCGCAAGTCGCCAGCAACTGAAGACCCATATAATGCGTTTTCATCCACAAGAAAAACCATTTGAGTGTGATATTTGCACAAGCACCTTTAAATCGACATTTATGCTTGCCCAACATAAACTCAAACACAATCGTCCCGATTCCACACAATGTGAGGAGTGTGGAAAATATTTCCGCAGTCAATTACATTTGCAGCGACACGTTAAGAATTTCCATTTGAAGTCGACCTACACTTGTCACATTTGTAATCAACAATTTGAAAATTACACTCAGATGCGTTTCCAATATCATGTCCGGCAACATGGTGAAAAACGGTTTTCCTGTTCCTTCTGTACAAAGGCATTCCATCAGAAGATACACTTGATCAATCATGAGCGAACCCACACCAAAGAACAGCCATTCCGTTGTCAGCTGTGTGGTAAGGCATATCGTCAACAGACAGCATGCCAGGAGCATATGTTGACCCATCAGGATCCAACGCCCTTCAAATGTACACATTGTTCGAAAGCATTTAGTCAAAGGTCAACACTGAGAATGCATATGCAACGTATACATGGTCTGGAGAAGGCCACAAAAACGTCCGATGCCAATTTACTGATGAATCATAATTTTTTCTAAATTGCAATGGGGTTGGAGGATGGCGGCGCCCATGAATTGTGTGTATTATTATTTTTTAAATATTATTATTGTAATTAATTTACAATCTACGCGTATAAAAACCTATATATAGAATTATTGTATGTGTATTAAAATGTCATACTAAGTATTAAAGACTTTTAATATATTAAAATTCGCATTATACATTTTTCTCTAAAGGAGAAGAATCTCTCAATAAAGCTTAAGAAGTATTGAATAAAAAAAAAATTGTTCAACTGAGCATTTTAATGAAGGGGGGAAAATAAACAGATCATTGTTGACTCTACTGGATATCTAATGAATATTCTTAAAATTAGCAAAGCCCTACTTAGCTATATTACAACAAAAAGGGACCGAAAGTTGTAGGGAAGTATTTATAGACTCTCTTTTTAGAATTGTTTTATGTTACATTACTTACCAATTTAACGCCGGACAAATCGAAATTTTTAACTAGCTTCACTCCCATTGAAATACGAAACATTTTCTGTATACTTCTATTTCAACAATATCGTATTTTTATATTAACAAAAATTAATTAACTATTTTTTCCATCTCAATATTTAATTGTTTTTTCATTGAAATATTTGTTAAACTTTTTCCAACCGAAACGTTTCTTGGGATCCTTTTTGCTATTGGCCGGTGTTAGATTGGGCATAAGACCAGCCTTCTGAGCCATTGTAACCAATGTGCCAATTTTCTTTTGCTGGCGATAGCAAAGACCGGTAATACGTTTCGGCAGCATACAGCCATCCGATCGGACATACTGTGACAGAATCAAAACATCAGTGTGTTTCAAATCTAAACCCAATGTACATTCGGGACAAAATTTCGCGGTGCAGGCTTCTTTAAGCATATTATCAGCACGAGGTGAGGGTTTGGTTACAGCTTCAATAATAAGCGAATTGTTTTCTTGGCGTTGCTGTACTAAAAAAAACAGATTTTTTTGTAAAAAATTATGTTATTGTAATTGTTTTAAAGGTTATGAAACTACTCGGTGCACAACTGTTGAGATTCCTCTTTATGACAAACTTACTTTCTTTAACTTTATTGGTCATTGTTGTTGTTATGTTTCTAATGGACACAACATTGTTTCGAATTGTGTTCGTGGTTAGTCGTACAAATAAGGACATTTCTGTTATATTTCTCTTTTATAAATTTATTTATGGAAAGCCTTTGGTAATTTGTTGCCGAATAAACGAGTTCAATAGAGGAGATATTCACTAAATGGAACTATTTGAACATAGTCCAGCTGATGTTGATAATGTTGCCACATGTCAATTAATTAGTACTGTACAGTTGAGTAGAGAAGTGGAATTTAAAGCTCTGTTTAAATATACCAATATCAGAATCTCCTTATCATGATATATTTTGACGTGTATTGTATGAAAATGTACGCCAAATAGATGCTGACAAAGAGATTCACACTGTAATAGATGTATATATCTTCATTACAACATCTCTACCTTGACGACTTTTTCACATCACTTTCACATACAGCATTCGCATAGTATAGTACATATACATTTAACTGTATTTAGTAAATCAAGTGGATTTAAATCAGTGATGCACACGGTGAGAGGATGGCAATTTGTAAATGTATGTGTGAGACTAGCACACAAAGTTAAAGCGGGCCACACACGTTAAACATGTGTTTTCCATCGGTGTGAATTAAATTTAAAAAAAATTAAAATAAATAAAATTGATCGGTCTTTTTTGCGTCGTCACTATCATTTTTTAAAAGCCAAAGTTTTGTTGATTCATTTGTGGCCTATCAGCTTCACACCGACCAAACGTACATGTTTGACGTGTGTGGGGCGCTTACTTGTTGAAGTCTCAACAACGACTAAACAAATGAGCGTAAGAATCCGTGTGAGTTGAGCTGACCGCTAGAGTGCAAGGGCGTGCATCCCTGATTTAAATTGTTATTTACATTGCATAAATATCAAATAAATCCTCATTGAGGACGATTAAATTTTGATCTATTACAAAGCACGTTCAATGTAAAATAAACCATACAAAAATCCACCATCTCAATGCGCGATTAGTCTTGGTTTCTTAATAAAATCCTTTGCCTGTTCCCTTACTCCAAAAGGATTAAAACTATCGAACTTTATAAATGGAAAATTGAATAGAACATTGTAGGAGTTTCTGGAACAGAACACCTATCTGTTTAGACTAGTATTAAAGTGCGTTTAGATTTATGAAATCCACTCGATCTCAAATGTCAATTACATAGCGCATACGTCAAATATAATCCTCTGGATTTAATCCTGTTCATGATTAAAGTGACATATACGCTAGGGATATGACATTTGAAATCGAATCGACGATCTCTTGAAATGATATAATGATGAGTCACTGTTAAATATTAAAAAATAAACAAAAAATATTAATAATTCATTGCCTCATTAACTTTATTGTCAAAATTCAATACAAATCTTCTTCATGCTTAAGAATATTTCTCATAACCGGTTCATTCACCAATTCCCGCATATTCTTGGCGACAATAAAGTCCAGATGATTGAAAGATTTTTCGGGTACACGATAATCTCCAGCCAAATTCTTAAAGTTCGAAACTAATGTATCAACATCTTTGGAATCGCAAAGGCCATCATTATAGCTAGAATACAAATATGTGGGCGCCACAATATTATCCAAATTATAATCCGGTGGGGTGGGTTGGCCATAAATCTTTTGATTTTTCTTTTCACCATAATCCATTTGACAGAAACGACCAACATTATGTTGATACAATTGCATAAAATGAATACCTTGATTACTGGATGAACCACCAGGATGCGTTTCAATTAATTCTTGCAGAGCTGTCAAATTGGTATTTTGATAACCATCACCGGCAAACAGTATCCACAGGTGATTGCACAAGAACTTCAAGGAAGGCTCTAAACCACAAGCAGTATCCCCAGCACGATTCATTAAATTATTTTGTGGCATCAATTCCATATCGGCAAACACTTGATTCCATATACCACCGGGAGTACCGACCAAGGGAGGGAAAATTTTGTACACAAATGAAGTGCCATGTCCAAAGAAGGCGCATGGAGCCAACATGTGAGCTGACTTAATTTTCTCATTGTATTCTTTGCGTTCGGACATCATGACAAAGTACACCGTGGTACCTTGAGAGTGGCCAGCATAATGGATCTTCGATTGTCCGGTCTGTTCAAGGATGTAATCAATCATGGTAGGGATATCAATTGTACCGATTTCATGCCAATCAAAATGCCAGAATTTTGGACTATTTATGGAAATAATAGTGTTTTGGCGGGAATAAATGTTGCCACGAGCATTTCCTAGCCATACATCGAACCCGGCATCGGCCAACAAATAAGCCAAAGCATTGTCGGGGCCACCAGATAACCAACAATCGGAATTACTGAATAGACCATGTTGCAGCAGAACGGCCGGGCGATACGAATCCTTGTTTTGCAATTTATTCGAATAGGGTATACGGAATAAGTTCAAAACATAGCCATCAGGAGTTGTGACAAAATGGGATTCCGATGGGTAACCATTACGACTAATGCGTTCGTCCTATGTAAATAAACAATTAAAATTTTCAATTTGTAAGGAAAACAACTCCTTCTTAAATTCAATCTTACCGATTTAATTATATCCTTTAACATGCATGTTGGATCAATTGAGGCGGCCGAGGCTCCGACCAAAAGCCCAATGAAAACAATGCATATAATCTTCATTGTCGGCTAACCAAAAATCTACTGTGATTACCCCAAAAGACATGTCATCTATTTATATATTAGCTTCTGATAATATTTTCTTACACCTGTTAGACAGAAAAAAACCATGAGAATTTTCATGTCTTCTTATCGTCAAGTGCTCTACTGATATATATTTTTAAATTAAAAATACTATTTCATGCTATGGACTTGAATCACACTCAAGGGGTGTATATATAATTTATGAATAGCTTTGTATCTGACTACGCGCCACGTCCGTCAGATAAATGTGTGCTCAAATTTATGATATTGTGTACTAAAAATTATAAATTATTGATTGAATTGAGTATATGCATATTATTGAAATTGTGTTAACAGCCAAATTAATACACATTTAAAAAATTAAAACGTAAAACACATTTACATTAGAACATTTTGCGAGGTTAACCTACTTAATGAGGATTAATTTGACATAAATATAATTCAATTGTCAAAGCCCACTATGCTAACGAGGTTTCAATTGCCATTTCCCAGTGGGTTTCAATTGCCATTTCCATTGCATATATGTCAAATAAATCCTCATAAAGTAGGTTAACCCGGTAAAAAGTTCTAATGTACAAGGAGTTTAATGTTATATGTATAACTTATGTAATTATTCATTGTACAATAAATAGGTAGTCCATTTAACGCAGCTGATGTCTTGATTAACTGTCAAAGTGGGCAATTTCTACTTGAATTCGATGTGCAGTGCTGCCAACCATGTGAAATATTATAAGGAAAATTTGACAGAAGGTCGAGACAAAAACAAAGGTTTTTGTTTTGATACATCATCTTATTATTGCATCATGATAATTATTGATCTGTCCCAGTACTTTTTTAATAGCAAAAGGGAAGCCTTTCAAAATCACACTCAGAGTAGTAGTAAAGTTCGGAAACGCAAATCTAGTAAATATGTCAAAATTATATGGCAATACTTCAAAATCAATATGTCAATTATGTCAAAATACATATCGTGTAAAAGCACCATAAGTTGCCTTCTTTTATTGTAAAAGAATAAAGGAGAACGGCGTCTAAATTCAAGTTTGAATCTGTTATTCCTTTATAAATTGGCATTTCATACAAAGCCAACTTAACATGCCAGGCGTGAATCCTCGTATGTGTGTCCCCCTTAACAGCCAATCAGGAATTGGCATTCCTGTTTACCATTTTTACTCGGACACATTTTTCGAGTAAAAAGTTTACAAAGAGAACGCCATTTTTGTTTTGTGTTCTCTTTAACTTTTGTAAAATTAGTAGATTTCTTTTAGGTTCGGGAACGGAACTTATCGGGCATGTTCTGACATTCACTTCAACGGCACAAGTGTATCGAACACACGCCGAGGTGTTCTGTAACACACTTTACACCCATTTGAGGTGTATTCTTTACACTTACATTTTCATAGTGAGAGTTGGCTGTATTTATGTTTTTCCATATAAAATAAAATCTTTTTTGAAATAAAAAAGGAACATGATGATAGATTGATATGTTGTTATTGCAAATAAATTTTTTAAAATCACAAAATAAACATGAAACGCCATTAAAAACAAATTTTAAATAGATACTAAGGTTTGTCTTGAATTTTCTTCAACTGAATTTCTTGCTTGGCACAAACATCTGATTTGAAGTAAGGCCGAAGAAGATAGGGTTACCAAATGTTCCCCTTAAATCAGTCAACAAATTAATGATATTACAGAGTTTTTCATACATATATTTGATGTTGCGAATAATAAAATATTAAAAAATAATAATAAAATTATCGTTAGAATTAACGAAATTACAAAAAAATTACAGAAAAAATGTTAAAATCGAATACAGTTTATATTGTATGGCAACTCTACTTCTGCAAAGTACCATGTCGACGTTTATTTTTGTCGCAGTTCAAAATTTCAATTCATGCCAGAACATGCCCGAATGTTTACTATCTTAGCTAAATTGCTAAATCGAAATAAATTTACCTCGATATGCAGAATGCATAATTAAAGCCATTCAATATTTCAATTTACTCGAAATATTGTGCTAAAAGTACGTTTACATTTAACCGGATTTTGTTGTGAACGTGATTAAGGTGACGTATACGTAATATGGAATTGACATTCGACATCGAGTGGATTGAGTAGTCGAAACGCGCTCTTATATATACATGTGAATGTCATCAATACCAATAGTAACTAAATTGCAACTGCTACCAAAATTTGACATTTCATGACCAAATATATCGATGTCTGATAAAGACAATAATAAAGACAATTGGTCTGTTCCCGTACTGCAAGAATCTACTCGATTTTACCATTTTCTTCGATATCATAAAGGAAAAAAGTGTTATTGGAGTAAAAAATAGTAAATCCTTGCAGTACGGGAACAGACCAAATATCATCAATAAATTTATAACTTTTATTTTAATCTGAAATTATAAATTTCATAAACCGTTTCATAAATTTTATAATTGCGATATTTTCCTACATACTCTGGTTATATTTCTAACAGCACATTTGGCTATGAAGACAACAGCAATAGATAAGATGTTAGCGAAATATGAAATATTTATAATTTTATGCATTTTTTTTTAGAATGCATATAATATTAAACTGTGAAATGCTATAAATGTTTGTTATTTCCTAAACGTTGGGTCAATATTATACAATGAAGTTACGCATTGATATTACTATTACCGTTGGATTTTTGGTTTGCTTTGCTTTGGTGGATTCCTTAGATTCAACATGGATATTTAGAGATATTATAAAGACTGTAAGTAAATCTGGTACACAAGTTGGGGGAAACACAAACGATGTTCAGGCTTGGCCGGTAAGTTGTATGAAATGTAAATTTATAAAGAAATATCAGAGTCAAACTCAGTTTTGGGCGCCATTCTCCTTTATTCTTTTACAATATAAAAAGCCAACTTGACATGCCAATCCTGAAGTCTTTTTATGTGTTTCCCCCTTTAAAAGGCCAGGTCTGAATCTTCGTATGTGTTCCCCCTTATAAAATTATTAACATTTCAAAACTTACTTTCAGGATGAACGTGTCCGTCTTAATGGCTATCCCTCGGAATCACATTTTGTTACAACTCCCGATGGTTATGTTTTAAACTTATTCCGCATACCGTATTCAAATAAATTACAAAATAAAGATTCATATCGACCGGCCGTTTTGCTCCAGCATGGTATGGTCAGTAATTCGGATGCTTGGTTGGCGGGTGGTCCTGACAATGCTTTGGCTTATTTACTGGCCGATGCTGGTTTCGATGTATGGTTGGGTAATGCCCGTGGTAATATTTACTCACGTCAAAATGTCGCAATTTCAACTAATAATCCCAAATTCTGGTATTTTGATTGGCATGAAATCGGCAGCATTGATGTTCCCACCATGATTGATTATATCATTGACCAGACCGGACAACCGAAGATCCATTATGCTGGCCACTCTCAAGGTACCACGGTGTACTTTGTCATGATGTCTGAACGCAAGGAATACAATGAGAAAATTAAATCCGCCCATATGTTGGCACCATGTGCCTTCTTTGCACACGGCTCTTCGCAAAGTTTCACTAATATTCTCTCTATGGTCGGTGATCCGGGAACTATTTGGAATAAAGTTTTCGCCAATATGGAAATGTTACCATACAATCGTTTAATCAATCGTGCCGCAGATACAGCTTGTGGCTTAGAACCGGCTTTGAAATTCCTCTGTCGCAATATGTGGCTATTGTTTGCCGGTAATGGTTTTCAAAATACCAACGTGACGGCTATGCAAGAATTGATTGAAACTCATCCGGCTGGTGCATCCACCAATCAAATGATTCACTACATCCAGTTGGGTGAACAAAGTATTGGACGTTTCTGTCAAATGGATTATGGTGAAAAGAAAAATCAAAAGATATACGGCCAGTCGTCGCCGCCAGATTATGATTTGGAAAATATTCGTGCTCCAACATATTTGTATTCGAGTGAAAATGATAATTTCTGCACCGCTAAGGATGTTGATACATTGGTGGCGAAAATTAAGAATTTGGCTGGAGATTATCGTATACCTGAACAAAGCTTTAATCATTTGGACTTTATTGTTGCCAAGAATATGCGGGAAATGGTCAATGAACCAGTCGTGAGAAATATGTTTAAACATGAATATGATTTCTAATTTCTAGATGGTGCAATAAATGTAGTGTATATATTAAAAATATGTAAGGGAATATTTACGCCAAATATGTTTTAGATTTACGCAATTCACTCGATCTCAACTGTCAATTCCATAGCGTATATGTCAAATATAATCCATTGGATTTGTGGACATGATTAAGGTGACTTATACGCTATGGAATTAACATTTGAGAGCGAGTGGGTTTAGCAGTCTAAACGTGCTCTAAGGAAATGAAAACTTAAAGGACGATTAAATGATGTTTTGTCATAAAAGGCGTTCGGTGTAAATACGCCCTAATAGTTTGTTTATATTAGGTTGTGTTTAGACCATATCTTCTAAATCGAGATATAAAATCCCAGGTGTTTAGACAATTATTAAAATTATGTAATGTTACATAGAAATTTCACTGGTTTCATAATTTCGGTGGCAATATTTCAATCAATATTTTTTGTTTTTAATTATTGTACTATTCATTATAAATTAAAAAAAAATTAAACATTTTCAACTGGTGGCATATTTGGTTAAGGCATTGTCACACGGGCCATCAATGTCATATGTACTGTCAAATTGTACATATGTGAATACTGTACATGTACATGGCCCATATGAAATTTTGCGTATGTTAAAATGATGTAATTTTTCCGTTTGGGGATCGCTCTATTTCTGTATGTATTTTCATACGAAATAAATCAGCTGTTTTGTTAGTTTGGCCAATGAATATAAATTTGTGATAGAAAATAACAGAAAAAATGAATGCACATATGACATTGATGGCTCGTGTGACAAACCCTTAAAAGTTTTTTTCTATTAGGGCATCTTTAGACTATGTCTTCTAAACCGAGATTTAAAATGCCAGCTGTTTAGGCCAGTGTCAAAATTATGTAATGTTGACAGTCAGCTGTTTAGTATAAGTAGTATATGAAGTATATGTATAGTTTCGTTTGATCATGTATATATATATATTTATATTGCTAATATAAATGAAATTTTGCGTATGTTAAAATGATTTAATTTTTCCGTTTGGGGATCGCTCTATTTCTGTATGTATTTTCATACCAAATAAATCAGCTGTTTTGTTAGTTTGGCAAATGAATATAAATTTGTGATAGAAAATAACAGAAAAATGAATGCACATATGACATTGATGGCTCGTGCGACAAACCCTTAAAAGTTTGTTTATATTGGGGTATCTTTAGACTATGTCTTCTAAATCGAGATTTAAAATGCCAGCTGTTTAGACCAGTATCAAAATTATGTAATGTTGACAGTCAGCTGTTATTTAGTATATGTACAGTATATGTTTTGTTCTTGTATATATTTTAATATTGCTAGAAGAAAATCAGCGTTCTGCTCGTTCTTGAACACAAATCTAATCAATTGTTTTACTATAAAAACATGTTGTCAAATCAAATTATGATAGTACAGATAACTGTCATTTACCGTACTAGTTGTTTGGTATCAATTTGCAGCGCTTTATCGATCGTCTAAATTGGCATATGTTCTATAGTTGAAATATATTTGCTATTTGATATGACATAAAATGAACAATTCATAATTAATTTCGTAGACGCACATTTTTCTATTTAACATTTTTTTATGTTTGATGATTTTGACTTCATAAAAAAACTATAGTAATTATGGAGCTACAATATAATTGATTGTAAACCAATATATATTTTAAGTGTTTTATGACCGTCTTATCGATTGTTTAATGAAATTATATTGTTTTATCAACAAAGCGGATTAAGTTCCGGAATACATATAAATTGTTGGTGATGTTATCAAATGATTTCCTATACGGCCAACATTTTTATTTCAACATAATTTAAAATATTCTAAAGCATATTTTTGGGCATTGTGTATTTGCCCAAATCAAATTTGAAATACAAATAATTGAGTCTATTGGTATTGTTACGAATATAAATTTAGATTTAAGTTAATTTAGATGAATTCCGTTAATTTAAGAATTTGAATTGTAACGTAAATTTCTACTACGCAGTTTATTTGAATAACTTCACAACAACAACTACTGTATAGATTTTTCTACATCCTTCCATTTCCTCTTTAATTTTCTATTTTGTTATTGTCGTATAATTCTTGTTAAACGTCATCATTGATGATCGCTTAATTCATCTTTCTTTGTTACTCTCTCGCCTGTATATGTGTTGTTGTTATTGTAAGTTTGTTTACTCAAGTTTGTTGTTGTTATTGTTACTCAATGTGTTTGTTGCATTGGTAGATTGTTCGTGATCTAGGTGTTACCAGATCGTCTAGAAACTTCTGTAGCGAGAGGCAGGGCTCATATAAATAGAGGGAATGGAAAGGCAGTGAGTCAGTTGTGAATCAGATCGCGAATTGAAACCGTCGTGTAAAGTAAAGTGCAAAGTAAAGTTGTGTGAATAAAATCATTGTAATAATCGTAATCAGAAAGAACCCGCGTTTTATTTGGTACGAATTGTATCGGGAAATAAAACAACGTCTACACGGGATTTAGTAAAATCCAAGAACGTAACAATTGGTGTCAGAAGTGGGATTACGATAGTACTACGATGAAGTTTAAGGATCTACGAGTGGAAGACTTGAAGAAGGAGCTGAATAAATTGGAATTGTCCTCTACTGGCAACAAGGCTGAACTCCAAAAACGTCTGTTGGATGAGTTCGAGCGCCGTGGTATGAACATCGATACATATGAGTTTGACAGTAAGGATGAAGTGGATTTATCGGAAATGGGCGAGTCCAACGGTGGGGAAGTCTCGTCAGTAGCTGCCAGGGGTGACGATTTAAGAGAAATGCTGGCTAAAATGTTTGAGGAAAATTCCAGAAGGAGCGAAGAGAATTCCAGAAAGTTAGAAGAAAACACGAGACGAATGTTCGAAGAGAATTCCAGAAAGTTAGATGAACTCAAGGCAGAGAACTGTAGAATGAACGAGAAACTCGAGAACATTACAGAAGTTATTGGAAGGAGAGTGGAAACCGTGGAGGTCCAAATAAAAGAGTTGGATAGGAAAGTGCAGTCGGTTGACGAGAAATTTCTGGCCCACGACCACAGGTTTACGAATCTGGAAAAGAAAATGTCGGAACTGGAAATTAAAGGTGGTCCGGTACGAGCTCCTGATAACACACTAAAAATCAAACCTCCTGTATTCGACGGCTCTACGTCATTCAATGTTTTCAAGTTACAGTTCGAGACAGTGGCTTCTAGAAATTCGTGGAACGACAGCGACAAAGCGGTTGCACTACTTCTGGCATTGAAGGGCAGTGCTGCGGATGTTATACAGAGTATTCCTGTCGCTTCTAGAAGCAACTATGAAGATGTTATTGCTGCACTGGAACGTAAGTACGGTGGCGAACATAAACAAAACATCTACCTTATGGAACTAAGGGGAAAAGTACAGAGGGCAAACGAGACGCTACAAGACTTTGCAGCTGAGGTGGAACGTTTGGTGCTAATGGCGTATCCAGGAGAGAATCACCCATTGCTGGACCGTATGAAAATCGAAACCTTTGTGAATGGCATACGTGACCCTGAGATTAAATGTGCAACATATGCGTCACCAAAAGCGTCGTTTGCCGAAACTGTGTCGTTTGCCCTTGCCCAAGAGACGGCAAGAATAATTGTTAAGCCCCAGACCCACAAGATTCGCCAACTGGAGACCGAAGGTTGCGAACCCAAATCTCTCGTTAACTCGATCAAAGTTAGTAGGGATGACTAAGCCCAGGGTTAGATGCTACAACTGCGATAAAGCAGGTCATATCGCGCGCGAATGCAGAGCTAAGCGCAAACGATCCAGGTCATCGTCACCACCTCCAACGAAAGATGGTAGACGAATGGCTCAACAGTCCACCAATGAGTCACCGTTAAACTAAATCGAGCCAGTCCAGCGGGGCATGAACTGGCTCCCATCGACGATGGCCCCACAATCTCCATAGCAATAGTACAACAGAAAAGCCACAACCTAACAACAACTGGGTACATCAATGGTGACAAGCGAGTTCTGACGTTAGATACTGGCGCATCAAAGTCCATCATAAGATCAGATCTGGTAAAGGGAAACATAACGCAACTTAATGGAGTCAGACTGCGCACAGCAACGGGGGAGCCCGCGGCCGTACACGGCAAGATTACCCTGAGACTAACTATTGCCAATAAATCGGTGAATTACGATTTTATAGTTGCCGATATCGTAGACGAAGTGATAATAGGCGCAGATTTTATGATTGCCTTCGGTATCAATCTGGATATGAAAGAGCGTGTGATGACCTGGTCTAACGTCGAAATTCCGTTAAACGTGGGCTACGATGAAAGTACACCCATTAGACGTCTGACTACGGACCATCCAGAGATAATACCGCCCTGTGCCGAAGCAATAATATGGGTACCAATGAATGGAGATTGTGGAGCCGAGAAGTTGTGGGTGGTGGAACCAGCAGAAAACAGATACAGTAACATCCTAATAGCGAATGCCCTGGTGAAAAGCAACGAGGACGGATTGATTCCTGTTAGAGTTTTGAACCTGTCAAACAAGCAAGAGCAAATTTGCCAATTTTCCGAAGTTGGACAATGCACACCAGCTGAAGCTGTAGTTAATTTGGAAACTAGCACCGAAAAGCCAGCAGCCATGGAGAAGAAGCACCTCGACGGCTACATAAAAGAGTGGACACACCAATTATCACCTTCCGAGAGGAACAAGGCTAAGCAGCTATTATGGAAGTATGCCTCTACCTTTGCGTTGACAAAAGAGCACCAAGGAAGAACATCAGTGGTGAAGCATGAAATCAATACAGCAGACGCGCGACCCATTAAACAGCCTCCAAGAAGTGTTCCCCTGGCCAAAAGAGACGAGGTCCAGAAGCTGATAAGTGAAATGGAAAAGAGTGGTGTAATAGAACCATCGTCAAGTCCATGGTGCTCCCCAGTGGTCTTGGTCAAGAAGAAAGACGGAAGCACCCGGTTTTGTGTGGACTACCGAAAGTTAAATGATGTCACCAAGAAAGACAGCTATCCGCTCCCAAGAATCG